CGGCCCCGTCCCGCCGTGGCTGGCAGCGCACCCACCCTCCCCGGCGCCCGCGTCCCCACAAGGGCTTTTGGTTTGGCGTTTTGGCCTCTGTCCCCAACAGACGCCAAGGTGAAGCGGTTGTTGAGCGTTAGGAGAACTCGGACTAAGCGAGGGGGGCTCGCCGGGCCTTCGTGTCAGACGATCAGGGCGGAGAGGCGGAAATAATCATAGAATCATGGAATTGTTAAGGTTGGAAAGGACCTCTGAGATCATCGAGTCCAACCGGTAACCGAACGGCCTGGTCCACCTCTAACCCGTGTCCCTAAGCACCGCATCCACACGTTTTTTGGACACTCCCAGGGACCGTGCTTGCACCGCTCCCCCGGGCAGGCTGCTTCCCCGGGCAGTCTGTTCAATGCCCAACCACGCTCTCCATGAAGAAATTTTTCCTAATATCTAATCTAAATCTTCCCTGGTGCAACTTGAGCCCATTTCCTCTCATCCTGAATCCCCCTGGCTGAACCAAAAATAACAACATGCATGGCAAAACCATTCATTCAGCAGCATTTTATAAAGCTACTGACCACCGCCGGGATGAGCACAGCGGGGGATTTCCTCTTCTCATCTGCCGGTACCTTCCAGAACGTCAAAAATGCTGCATCTCTACTCCAGTCAAATCATCAATGTAACTTTAGTCATAGGGCTTTAGACGTTGTTTCTTTAAAAGGGGAAAACCTCCAACAAAACCATTACACACCCCAACAAAGCACCAGAGCCTCAGCAGGGTTCCACGAATAGTCCAATTGTTCAGCAAGTCTGTTAGAGCCTGTGCATTGACAGCCTTCACAGTTCAAGTTCACCATCAAAGCCTACGTTTCTTTCCCCCTCCCCAACTTTCTAGCACTCACAGCTGTGATGAACCCTGCTGCAAGAAATAGCTAAGCTTCAAGCTTTTCTGATTCTTTTCTACCATCTTCTGCTACCTTCCAGAGGCCTAAACACCCCATTCTGCGATTTTAAATACCCAGCCTCTCCAAGCCTCCTCCACCACTCCCCTTTCCTCTTATGCAGCTGCTCCAGGTGTTTTTTTTTGTTTTTGTGTTTGTTTTTTTTTTTCTTTCTTTCTTTCTTTCTTTCAACCCCAACTTGCTGGCAAGGTGTCTGATCTTCAGTTATGGTAACTGAACTAATTGCAGGAGACACAAACACCTGCTTCCTTTATCACTATTCTGCCGTAAATCTTTTGGGTTTTACTTGACCTCCATCTCGGCACCAGAAAGCTTCTCTACTTCTGCTGTCTGGTGTTGCTGGTTAAAGTCACCAGTTCTGTTAAACTGTGACCCTTCTTGCATTTTCTTAGCTATCATCTTCGGCAAGAGAGGCGTATTTCTTTCCCCTCAGGAAGGTGATAGAATAGAAAAGGAAAACAATAGCCTTAATGCTGATGACTGCATGTGCTGTGTCCCATGGGTTCTTATCCTTACTATTAAGGCTAGATTGCAGATTTAAGGTATGCTACCCCCCATTTCAGAACAGCAAGGTGACACTGTGAGCCCAAGGAAGTTGATAGAGCCAACAGGGGACTCTCTCAGTCTCAAGATTAAGACCAGCGTGGTGCAGAGAAGCCTGTGAGAAGCTGGCTGAAAAGGAGGACGGAAAGTGAGTCTCTGTGGACAAGAGACTCCCGCTTCAATCAGCTGTGAGGGACTTCACTTCTGCCCTTGTCTTCTTAAAACAAGCAACTGCAGCATTTGGTTTTGCATTATGGTATTATTGTTCTACCTACGTCTATCTGATGGACTACTGAGAACCAAGCAGCAGTGCCAGCGCTAAGGCGGCTTTTATTTTTGGCACACTGTATTCAGCAGCCAGTTACATAACGGGTTACAGGGCAGCTGCTCCTAATTAGACAATTACGGGGAAAAACCCCAAATCAAAACAACCTTCTGCTTTTCAAATAACAACCACAAGAACACTGAGAGCATATAGGCTAGAAGTAATTCTTGAGCAACTTCTATTACTATTACTAACCAGTATCTGCAAGCTTTGCTTAGATGAGACCGAGAGAACTTGTCCAGCTCCTACTTTGACAGCTGGAACAGCATTAGTCCTTGCTCCCTCCACATAGCCTGTTCAGACTTGTTAAACACTTCAGCACAGAACTATTGTACCTGTTTGCTTAAAGTTTAATCACTCCTTTCTTTTTCCTTCTAGGTTTTCAATACAACCAAGGCAAGGAGGATTTTTTTTCAACTTTTATTTTTCCTTCAGACTCACAACTGCCAGTAGTTACATTTAAAACCAACCAACCAATCGACCAGTCCACATTTGTTTTGTTCTATGTAGTATCCTATACCAGGACGTGCGTGGATAGTATGCAGTAGATATACTGAAATCCCACAGTACGCAAACACGCCCAGTTCACATAGCCACTCTTCAGTATTAGATTCTTTGCAGCTCTAAGGCACCTCACCCTCACACGTTGTCTGCCTCCCTCCTTCCATCACCACCTAACACCTGGCCCATACCTCACAACTAATAGCATTTATACCCATTGCTTAGCTAACACTCTCAACGACCTTAAGGTAGATGCTATTAGTCCCATTTTACAGATGGGGAAACTGAGGCAATACCATTAATGGCTGTCCAAAACCGCAACAATGGAGGCAGAATTAGAATTTGAGGGTTTCCACTTCAATCTTGTGGGCATGTGGGTTGGTTGTATCTAAGGTACCAAAATAATGGCAACAAGAAGCCATGCTCCAGAATAATAAGTGTTCTTTATTATTGTTATTATTTCTACAGACTCCAAATCAGATATGCGAACAGCAGGTTTTGCTTTATACCAAAAAATGAGAGATTCCACAAATGAAACACAGGATTAATAAATGGTGGTAGAGAATAAGACAAAAAGGCAAGCAGTGATCAATGCTGTTTAATACTAGGAAAGCCAAAGAGAAAAAGACACTCTTCAGACCAAAAAGTATTTAAAAAAAAAAAGGGGGGGGGGGGGGAAGAAGGAGAAAAAAAAAAAAAGAACAAGACTTATTTTGGAAATGCTTTAAGCTGACATTATGTTGGTTTTATTTCAGATTTCACAAAAGAAATACATTACAAAACTAAAACCAGTTAACCCCTATCAACAGAGGGTGGGATAAGCAGCAGACACTAGGTCAGAACCTGCAGTGAAGAGCCTCCCGCTCCTGTACTAACAGGATACCTCCCTGGTGGACGGAGAGAACTGGGGTTTTACAGCAGTTCTGAGAGGCACAATGGCTCCTCCTAGTTGGTGCTTTGTTGCTACCCAGCCCAGGTCTCCTCTGTATCATAAGTGTAGCAAGGATTTACTGATTTGAGAAAGGACAGATCCAGCATAGCAAAGGCAAGAGCTTTTTTAATTGAATTTTATGCACGTTTCCTTTAAAGGGCACTGTACCGTAAAACCATACCATCAAACTGATTACTCAGCTAACTTATGTGGGATCTCCAGTCTCATTACTGAGAGGAAAATGAATACACAAGGTTTAAACAAGCCCTGTACTAAATAAAATATACAGGGGCTTTGGGAAGATGCTTGTATGTTTGCCTGAGTTTTGGTTACAGGAGAGCAGGGGTAGGAGGATTTGTTCAGTTATCGTTGAGGAGTTCTATTCCGCCCCCCCCCCCCGCCCCCATTTGAAATGTCTGGCTGGGTGGTGAGACTGGAGGTGGGAGGGAATAAAATAAAGCAATGGTCTTAATGCTTTACTAGGGCTCTGATACAGCAGAGCACAGTACCACAGAAACAAAGTACCTGCCTAGGGACAGCTTTGCCTGTTCTTATCACACCCAAGTTAAGGCTGTTCAACACACAGGGGCATCTGTCAAACCACCCTGCCTTCCCCCCACCCCCTCTCTCCTCCAAAGAGGGGATGATGGCCAAGAATCCTCTTCTACCTTTTTCTTTCTGAACAGGGCAGGGCGGTGGGAGAAAAAAGGAAAAAACAAACAAAAGAAAC